GTGCACCAGGGAGCTTTGTATCTGAAGTTCTGAAGTCTAAATTCTCTCACATACTTATTTTTAAGACCTAACACGAGCATTCAACTCCCGCTTTTGGTTGTAGCTGTGGCATCGCAACGATCCAACCCTAAGCCCTAGCCGCCCTAGCCCAATGCAGACGCACATGAAGGACATGGCATCTCTTGTCACCCATATACAGCTCACTGGTCTCAGGGCGAGGCACCTCAGCACATCCAACTGAAGGCTCGGCTAGTGAACACCACTGTGGGAACCTGCCTTTCAGCCAAATCGAGATGGGATGTGAGGGCGAGGGTCGGTTTGATACCTCACGCAGAGTTCAAAATGTATACAGTAAATCTATAACATGTATGGCTATATATATATATGTAACGTATGTATGTAACTGGTGTGTTGATTTCATGTTTTCTTGAGGCAAAAAGATCAGTCTCCGAATTCCGGACCTATTTTCCGGGCTGCAGCGGAGGAGGACAACAGACGGTCACCAAACACATCTCTTGCGTTGCTGAACACCGATCAGGTGAAGGACCAGCAGGGCAGTGAGGTGCGGGACAGATGGTGAGAGCTGGAAGGCTTGGTATATTGGTGTAGAACTTGTTCCTTGGTATATGTGTGTTCTGTTTGGGGGGGGACTATGTCTCTCATTTGACTGGTGTTCCTTGCTTCAAGAGAGACTACACTGAACCATTGCCTGTACCACTTGTAGCTGGCTACCACGGCAATGCAAAATTACCACGACACAGAGGGCGTTGCCACAATTACCCGGCTGTTCAAAGGCGGCAAAGCAAAGGGCTCGTCGAACATTTTGTTCCCGACCTCCTGTGGTAAACAAGAGAAATGAGGCGCAGGAAACCCAAGTTATTCTCTTTGGGGGAAACCAAACTACGGCGCAGTGGAGAAGAGCCAGGTACAATTCAAGATCAAGAAGACGACGCCTCTGAGGCTGGGCTACAGGGAAGGTGTGGTGCGAATCAGATGTTGGAAAGGTTTGACATGAAGTGAAATGAGACGAAAGAGAGATGTTAAGCTTCCCTAAGAATCTAGGAACCAAATGAATAGCACGGGCGCTTCTTCAAGGAAGCTCCGGGAAAGCTTGAAGCGCGAGCTATCCTGCTTCCTACGTACCTAGGAGCTTAAGCAGCCTAGTCTCCGGGAGGATTCCTCAAAAAGGTCCAACCGGTGAGGCTTCGATGTTAAACGGATCTTCCGTTTTCGTGCAAGCACGGCTACCGTGTTGCGACTGCAAATGATGGGGGTGCGACTGGGACAGGAAATTGATGGACGCCTATTGCAGCCGCTTGGGGCTTCAGGCTTCACAGGTGCAGCGGCCCAGCTGGAAACCCTTCACCTCATCATCTAGCACTTACAGAAGCCTCTACATACCAGAGCATTCTCTTGTAGGATGCAAGAAATTGCCGGTCAACTTCGTTCAGGTTGAAGACCTTTGACGTTTTTTTTACAAGTGCTGCAAAAAAAGTAAAGAAGGCAGCATGCAACATAAAAGGAGCACACCAGGCATTCTGCTTCGCATGTTGCCTCCAGCAAATATAGCTAAACCTTTAAGCCTTTAGGTCTCAAATGAGGAGCGATCAAACTAAATTGTCTGAAACATTTGCAGTTTGAGGTCCGCTTCATGGTTGATGGAGAACGAATCGCCGCGGACGACACGGCGGAGAAGCTCGGACTGGAGGAGAAGCGACACTCCGTCGCCGTGAGTCGCTGCAAGCTTTCGGATGGTCTCCCTATATACCTAGTGTTCAACCATGTTCGATCCAAAGTATGGACCAGTGCTTGATTGATTCAATTTAGTTTCTATTTTCCTACCCAAGTTGTTTCCCGAAGTCAAGCTTATACCCAGATCGAAATCCGATGATTTGAGGATCCCAAACAGCTTCCTCAAGAACATATCCAGGCAACTGTCAATGTTCGGTGATGCTAAGCCATCCTATCATGCAGGCATGGTCAAGACTCGTGCAAGATAGTTAGATCGGCTGCAATCGCAGGACGAGGATTTGATCGATGTTGCCATGGAACAGACAGGCATGACAGTTGGGGGAAAACGCAACTGTTTGCTTTGAGTTGGGGCATAACTGTATCTGCCAACGGCCATTGTTCAGAAGTCCCAGCTTCAACTGTCCAGGCATGTCCAGGCCAGTTCTAACTACTAGTAGTAATGCCAGGAGCTACTAGTAGCGTCCTTGTTACTAGTAGCGATGCCCTTGTTACTAGTAAAGCAACAAATTATTTGATAACTCATTGACACTCAGGTGGCCGTTGATCTGCGCCCCTGAGTTCAAGCCTCGTGTCTGGCAATGCGATCGGCCAGACAAGTCTTGAGACGCCAGCGAAACAGGTAGGCTACTGCCCACGATATATTTTAAACATCTTGAAAGCAAGAATCAATTTGAGTTGCCAGGGTGAGATGATGCCAACCAATCTAATCGGAAGTGGTCGAGCCTGGACCTTTGCACTATCTGCAAGCTTGGATGGGGTTTTCCATGCTTGGACCAAAAGAGTGGCAGAGGTATGCTGGCAAGATATGATGCCAGATGTTGTCAAATGCGTATGGTAGCCCCGCTGCATGCTAGACGTTGTGTGGTTTTACATGGTTTTACAGATGCATATCCTTTGTTTGGCATATGTAGATTGGCCAGAGACGCAGACAGGTGGCTACCAGGAAGAAGAAGCAGTAGCAAGTGCCACTGACCGAGCTCGCGAAAACACGAGAAATCAAACGGACCACACTTTGGAACCGCCTCGCCTATGGCGGGTCTGTAGAGGATTTCTTCATCTAGAGTGTTCCCCACAGGCATACAACCAAGCCAAATTGGATACATACTGCAAACACAGGCAAGAGAAACGCCAAACATGCATTGGTTCTCTTTTTTCGACCATTTTGTTTTTCATCTTTTCCTAGGAGCGGCAGCGTACAGTTAATCGCTAATCTTGCTGACTGGTAAAAGTTCTCATGAATGCAGAAATAATACACCCCAAAAAGTGAGCACAGGCAAAAACAGAGCAGATTACCTCTTTCATGTTCATTTGTTTTTTTTTTTAAACATAAGTTTAGTTTTTGATGTATAGCTGACATTGGAGAAGACACATGCAGAGGTTTCCAATGAAACACCTTTCATCGCAGGGTGGAGTCCTCAAAGGGAAGGAGCCTCCTTCAGAGTTGAGTCTATTGCATCCTGAGTGTTGCCCATCTGGCGATGTTTGCTCGCCTTTTGGCTCAAGAGTGCTTGACTTCACCGCAACCCCAGGCGGGGTCGCAGAGGTCATAGGCTTTACGGTCTTTCAATGGAGGCGATTGAGAGGGATGAACAAAAGCAGTAGCCGCCCCCCTTTTCCCCATTTTCTCAATCAAACGGGACCCATGTCAATGTCAACGAGCGTGTGCAAATACATGCAAATGCATGCAAATGCATTGGCACGAGCCTTCCTCGGCAGTTTCGCAGTAGTTTGGTTGTTCTGTCAAACTGCATCCATCCGAACTCCGTATTTGGTTCCAGCCTGGGAGCAGGACCTCCAAGAGATCAGATCAAGCTACCTTTTCTTGTACATCTATGCAGCCAATGGGCAGAGTTCTAGGATGCTCTAGGCACCCTTTAGTTGATTCCATAGACACATGAAAGCCTTGCTTGAGGTGACGCTTCAAGAGCGAAGCTATGGCTGACGCCCGGGGCCAAAGCATGGTGCATCATGTCCCTCCAACTGAGGGTGTTGAACTGAGCACTGTAGGGTGCTGCCCCTAGTAGCGTCCTTGCTCCTAGTAGCGATGCCAGGAGCCCCTAGTAGCTTCTTGCTCCTAGTAGTAAGGCCAGGAGCCCCTAGTAGCGTCCTTGCTCCTAGTAGCTGCAATGTCTAGTTTGGTGGAGATTTTCTTGCACTTGATGCTCTCCTGGCACTTGCCTCGTTCAATCTTAATCATAAGCGAAAAGCGACCTAGGCAGCAGAGGCACCTCAGCACATCCAATTGAAGGCCAGGCCTCCGGTGAAGCAGACATGGTGAAACAAGAAGAGTGTGCGGGGCTCCATGAGTTGTGATGCTAGGATAATCAACTCTGACATCCTTTGGATGTTTCTGAAGCAACTAAAAAAGCCTATAGAGCTAGGTAGATGAGACTCTCAGCAGCAGCCTTTCTCGCAGTTGCATTTCTGCGCCCGCTGCGCCCAGTGACGTCTTGAGTTGGGAGCACGATTCCTACGCCAGTGAGTTTGTAATCTCAGGTTTTTCTTGTCCTTGATTCATATCAAGCCTTCCTTTCAATCTCTCTCTGACTCAGCCACAAAACTCCGGCCTCTTTGCCCACCTTAAAAGGACATGGTTACCTGGTTGACCGAGTTTTCCCTTGATTAGCCTTGCACCATTTGGTGCCCAATCCACAGGTGAAAGATCAGCAGGGCAGCGAGGCACAGAAGGGGACAGGGGCGGCTGCAGACCTATGTCCAATGAAGAACCAATGCGCCACCAAAGCTGTGAACCAAATGCCCTGTGAGACAAGTGTGGGGCTCGCACTGTTCATGCGTTGATTTGTTTGAGTTGTTCTGCCTTTAGTAATACAATATAATGGATCTGGTCATTTGGGCCTTTTCAATGAAAGTTTGGGTTGTCCAAAAAAACAGCATTGCCAAAGCATTTAATATACATCAAGCTATTAGAGTCATGAGTCATGCTATTACTATTGTTATTATGGCTATTATACAGTTATGAAGTGTGAAGCAGTTGTGTGATGGCTGAGGGGGACATGGAGACCAAAGCCTTTTGATCAGAGCGGCTTCCGCTTTCAGCTTTGGAGATCTCACTTGCACTCCAGGTTCAGTTCAAGATCAAGAAGACAACTCCGTTGAGGTTGGATGGGCTGCCAGATTCATGTGATCCCACTAGGGCTATTTACTCATTTACTCATTCACAGCCCAATGTGTACCGGGAGGCAGACCCACACGGGACATCTCCTGCAGTTGTGCCGTGCAGGAAGCTGATGGATGCATACTGCAGCCGCTTGGGGCTTCAGGCTTCTCAGGCCTGGCTAGAGCAACTCTTGCTGAGCCACAAGTGGAGGATGGATCTGTCGAACAGCTCGGGCTCGCTTGGGTTGCATCTATTTATATGGTGAACCCACAGAGGGTCACTTTTGCAATTTTCCTGTGGAAGGTGGTCCTTGTGGGGGGACTACAAGCATCTACAAGCATCGCAAGCATTTGAGCATTCACCCGGTGGATCAGGGTTTCAAGCTGCGTCCCTCGCTGGGCAGGTGCGCTTCATGGTGGATGGTGAACGCATTGCCGCGGATGATACCGCTGAGAAGCTCGGACTGGAGGAGATGGGATGTATCCTCGAGGTGAAACACCAATCCGACTCTCCGGGAAGCAAATACAGTGAAAGTAATATTACTTTATACAACGCACACAATTGACATTGTGCTTGATTCTCCACTACATCATATGCATCTATGCATATTATGTAAGGATTCCCACCTAAGCTAGCTTTCCTTGTGACATGCAAATGCCTTTGTGACCTCCGAAAAGGTCCAGTCTGCAACTGCTCCATCAGTCAGAACCTGACAACCGGGCGTCCTTTCCAATTTCTCTTTCTCATGGAAGAAGACTGTGGCTATTGTGCCACCTTTGCCAATTGGCAGAGTTACCTCAACGGCAGACTCTACCTCAGCCCAAGCACAGCCATGACCACCGCAGGACGAGGATCTGATCGATGTGGCCATGGAACAGACAGGTGGCTTGACCTGAGAGACATGAGACATGAATGTCCGAGCCATTGTGACTTCACCAATTTCATATCAGTCACAGCTTTTTAACAGGCATCCTGATTGACTTTCAATGGTGGTGATCAAAGTTTTCCTCCCTGAACATAGCATACCCATTGTGATTTGCTTGCCAATGATATCAACAAATGCAGCTGTTTTACAAGCATCCTCATTGTTGTTTGAAAATCGACCTGACAAAAGTTGCATCCCTTCAAGTGAGCGTACCCATGCAGTTCTATGTTGATCGGAGGTGACTTAAACAACCCTGAATTGACTTAAACCTTTGCAGCGCACCCAATCGGTAGATGTGACTTAAAACATGAAGATGTGACATATAACATATGTAACTCCTCTACTGTACTTGTATCAAAAATGAAATCCCCATACAGCACAGAAACTTCCGTGCTGTATGGGGCTTTCATCGACGGAAACCGTAGATCTTGGTGCCACAGTGATCCGGTGGGAGTTGGACAGGGGGATGACCTCTCAGGTGGCCGCTGAGTTCGCCGAACCGTTGGGCCAATGGGCCCATTGTCAAGGAACGTGCTCTCCGGGATGGTTATCACTGCCACTTGAAATCAGGACTAGTCAACGGCGTAAAGCCACTGTTTTGTTTACAGTAACACCCGGATGCCTGGGTGTATCCGCCTGTGTCTTATCACGTTCGTTGACGAATGTTCGCGGCGCGACGACTTGGAAGCAGCCGTGGATGGGGTTCCATGCGCTGCCCAAGAGGAGCCAAGGCGCTCAAAGTCTGCTTGAAATTGCCTGCCCAACGATGCAGTGGCCAATGGCCCCCGTCATTCTGACATTCCAAAAAGAATCTGTGAATCTCGGCAGATGGTCAAGAAGAGAGAGCTCTTGTTGTATGAGACAGGGTTTGCCATTTGCTGACCACCAACGGCCATTGTTCAGTGGGTAGTAAGGCCGCTCAAGGTTTTGCCAGTCCCCAGTTGTGAAAGAAGTCTTAGCCAACGTTGCGCTCCGCCGTTGGCGAAAAGAACTCGCCGAGCCTCGGCGTGGGCAGTGCCCAGCAGTGCCCTTGTCTTATCTTCCGGTCCAACATGAACCTCTTCAGGGCTTCTTTGTGGATAAATGTCGTCTGCCTGCAGATAGAAGAGGCTGAGATGGTGAGGGTTTCATGCTACATCATGAAGCACCCTGAATTTGCTTGCAAATATGATATACCGATATACAAGCTCACAATGAATTTAGACTGGCTGGAAACGGTCTTCTGGAGAGGGGTCTGGGTGCTTCTGCTTTTCTCTACGGCTGCGGAATGGATGAACCTCTTGGAAGACCTTTTCGCGCGTCGGGAGAGAGGGTGTGCAGAGTCTTCTCATGAACGGACCCATTTTCCGCCTCGATGGGCGCCGCCATGTCGCCAGCTGGCAATTCCATGCCTTGACAGTGTCAGACAGCTGAAGCAACCCTTTGGACAACTCCAACTCTTTTCAAGACGACCTCACTCTAGCCTTCAAGCCTTCAACCCTCCTGGACTCAGCCTTCAACCCTCCACTGAGCGACTTTGCCCTATTCATGAGTGTTCGATCAGATTGCACCTTTTGCCCAGCTCCCAGCCAAGCAAGCCCGGCAAATGGACACACACACACACACACACTCTATTTGGATGTCAAATAGGATGTCTTAGACTTAGACTGACTGAGGTCCAATCTAGGGTCTCCTTTTCTGTTTCATAGCAGCGATTTTCGGGGTCTCTCTTCAAAGCCAAGAGCCCAGCAGCCCAACAACCCAACCGCCATCACCTTCAGATTTCTTTTCTTTGGGCTGAGCGATGGCGCCATGAAGCCTGCGAGGAGTTGCCGTTCATTGAGAAACTCATGTAATTAGATTGGCACGGAAGGAGGTGGATGGTGATGGATACAGTTTATCCACTCAAGATTGATGTGCATCCACTAGCCATTTATGAATCTCAGGTATTCTTTGTAGACCATGCAGAACCAATGATGCATAGTTTAGCTATGTTTAGTTGATTCCCTTCGCTATCTAATTTTGGCTACTTGGAGACCCACTTCTTGGTGAGTAGTTTCGTTGATGCAAACTTTTGGGGGGGACTTCTTTGTCATTTGTGCATTGGCTTTACAGAATGCACCTGCAAAAGGGACATGAAGTGATTTTCCCAATGCTCATGACTCATGACCGTTCATCATGTTTGTTGGTCAGTGACAAAAGCAAGGTTAAGCAATGGACATCATGATGTTTCATTAGCTGACTTAGTCAAGAAAGCTTGCTCGGCTTTCCCACCCTCATCGAGCTTTGGGCACGAACAACATTCAGTGACACGCAACCGCTGATGCAGATCTTGACACGGGACAGTCTTTTTGGTGAGCGCTGTCTTGCAGACTCGCTTGACATCTTGGACGCTGTTGGATCTCCCTGTGGAGGACAGAGCCAGGCGAGACCCTCTCGTTGGGAGCTCAACCGTTCGGAGGGCCACGGCTTTTCATGTGGCTCCACCTGATGTCTTGGGGTCGAAGCAAACTTCCAGATCGTTTTGGATCAACTGTGCAGTAAGGTTGCTACAGCCGACACTTCTCAGCTCTCTCCACTCCTCTATCGACTGAGGCGCATCAGTGAAGGAAGCAATGAGGCGCAACGTGGTTGAAGATGGAACCAATACATCAAAAGTATCTGTCATGAAACTGGATAGTCGACGAAATGCACTCCCCTCCACCAATGTAGAAGTTGCAACAAGCACTGTTTTTTGAGGAAGACCGGTCTTCCAAGGGACCTTTTTTGGTGTTCTGGCTGCCCAAGCTGGGGATACCCCAGCGCAAGCCCCTTGAAGGGACCATTTTCATACTCCTTCCACCTTCCATGGCTTTGCCGTTCGATCCCTTCACTGACCCAGCAACCGTTCTGACCACAGGCCTCAGTGGTGTCCACCTACTTCAGTGCGGCCTCGGCGCCCATCTCGGCCCGGGTGCTATAGAAAGTGGCAAAAGACCAGGAAAGTAATTTTGAAGAAAGGATACGTCAGAAAAGGTTGTTTAGATTCGTTGGATCCTTTTCCTGTTTTTCCAAAACCGGTAGTTTTAATTTGATCCATCAAGGAGTTCTTTAGAGTTCCAACATCAGACTCACACATGAAACCTTCTTATGTTTTGAGATTTTGGTGTAAAAGACATCATCAGGTCAACATCATCAGGTCAAGGGCCAAGGACAGCTCCTGCAGCCATTCTCAGCTTACATCCAGTCTCGGCTGGAATGTCCATGTGTAAGTGTTCAAGTAGATATATTTGGAATGACATTTGATCCTCAAGCCACCTATCCTCCGTCCAACCCTGAAGGTTCAAGACAATAGGTTGGAGGTCTTTCAGTCGTACTTTCCCACCAAAAGGATCTCCATTCAAAACACCTTTACAGCAGTCAGCAGCGATCCAGCGACGTGCGAGCCACTGGTTGCCCAATGGGCTCAGATGAGTGCCCACACGATGTCAGCACCTGAGATAAGTGGGATGCCATTTCCATTGAGGAGAGGAAGATGAGCCAGAGACACTTGGACAAGAGTAATTAGTGAACTTGAATATGAGAACAAGCAAGATCAGCAAAGGACGAGACAGGATCAAGAAGGCGTGGACTGTAATTACACGGATTGATTGTAGACAACTGCTCCAGGACAGCCAAACACCAACCTGCTCACACCAATCACTAAAATCATGATCAACTTTTAAACATCCAAATACCTGCCGTTTTGAAATGCCGTTTTATGTCATCGTTTTATGCCGTTTTGGAGTTTCACTCGAGGTCGTTTACGCCGGGATGTGTGGCCACTGCGGTACCTCAGTGGACAGCAGCGCCCTTTGCCGGCCAGGCAGGGCACCGACGCATGCCGCAGGGGGCGCCGGTCGAGCGGTCGAGCAACTCATTCAGCGGCAACTGGTAGCGTCCTTGCTCCTAGTAGTAAGGCCAGGAGCCCCTAATAGCGTCCTTGATCCTAGTAGCGATGCCCTTTGCTCCTAGTAGCATCCTTGCTCCTACAATTTTTGATTTCAGTGAATCATTGCGAATTCACCAAGACCAGATTCGCTCTAGAGTGGATTTTCTTGTCTCGTTGCCGATAGCTAGAACGCCAAATTTCCGTGTCCTCGCGTGTTGGTGGTGAGGCTTTCTCACCACGCAGGAGCTGAAGGCACGGATTGGGGTGAACCAACAAGTAGTGACGCGGTGGTCGTCTCGTTCCTCCTGACTTTATACTGTAGATGAATTATAGATGTGCATCTAGATACCAACATGGCGTTATGAGTTGTGCATCATAGTCGTACCCTGCAACTGGTATAACGCAAGCAAGGGGAGGTGTAAAGGTATGAGAACTCGGAAGTCGGGGGGTACCTCCATGCAATCGTGTTGACTTGTGCTGCATTCCAGCAGATCGTCATTCCTTATCAGAGACTCCTAGTAGATTCCTTTGCTAATTACAATTCTAATTCGTAACTTGTTACTACTAGTAAGGCACTTGTTACTAGTAGCGAGGCACTTGTTTCTAATAGCGAACATTGTTACATCCCCACCTCTGTGGCCTCGAGATGCCAGCCTTTTGCTGGGAGGTTTCAAGCCAAGTGCTTGGCAGCTTGGACAGAGGTGGGTGTCTTTCGGATTCAGAACGGAAAGCTTGAAGAAGTACAACCTGGCTGCGGATTAAACATGAATAATTGACAGATGTTGAGGAGAGAAGAAAGAAGGACATGATTGGATCATATTGGATCTATATAATTCTATATAATACCTTATCAAGTACCTTAACCTATGACTCCTTAACTTATGTGGGACATGGTATAGATTATTGTCATGTCCAAGTCCCAGGCCGCCAGCGAATGGCCTTAATCCTGGACTTGGTGCGGCGGGTGATGCGGGTGACGGAGGGCGACCAGATGCCATGAACTGGTCATGTTGTAGCGATCGCGCTTGTCGAAGCTCTAGTTTTGTCATCATTGATAGGGTGTTCTTTCACTCACCCCATTT